CAAATATCTGGGATAATAAAATTGCCCTAGCTGAAACCATGACCTTGTATAAAAGTGTTGTTCCATTACTAAAGTCAAACACAAGTGGAAGCAGCACAAGTGGAAAGTGTGTGAGGGAGGACCCGGGATCCTACCCTACCTCACACCAGGAGCATGATGTTTGACACACATTGTCAACTTCTCTTAGCTTTTGTTATGTCTATAGTTTATAAAATAGAGCTGTCAAAGTTTATCTTTCTGGGAGAGGAGGGCTGGAGGAGATGAAGGCTGAGGCCTTTTCAAATAAAAGGAAGAAAAAAACAAGAGGTGAAGGAAGGAAGAGAGAGGGGAAAAGAACCAGCTACATTAGTTCTAAAAAGATCTGTGTATTGAAATTAACGTCATGTCTCCAATGTTAGAAGTCTTTTAGAAACACAAGGCCACATACAAGAGCTGTATGTTACTATCAGGAATAAAACTGAGGTCAGGCAATATTGTCTCAGTACAGGAGCCATGGAAACAGGGACCCCAGGGCGTTTTAACCCCCTTAGCTCACCGTAGTGTGGAATGATGCTCCAGGCCATGGCGGATGCGTAGATGCCCCCAGTCATCCAGAAGATGCCCAGCCAACTGAGGTGTTCTCCTCGCTTTTCTCGTGATAAGAATTCAGAAAAATAGGTAAAAACAATTGGCAGAGAACCCCCAATACTGCAGAGAGAAAATACCAAAAAGAGAGAATCAAATTATGTACTAGAACTGGTCATAGCATAAATCATGTTGCCTTCAACCTCACCCTTAGGCTCTATGGTAAAACAACCCAAGAATCTGAAAGTCTAGCCAGGTAGTTGCTGTCTGGATATAAAAGGAAATCTTGGATTTTTTTTTTACTTTATTCACCAGTTTTACAGCTTAATCCTAACGTTCACTGTCTCTAAATTTAATATAGTAAAGGATCTTGCAATCCCCACAGAACCTGCATGAAGGGATTCTGGAGATAGCAGGCAGCATTGGAGTGCCCCAGTGGACGGGCCCTTGTTCTAGGAGGGGCTGGCTCCAGGTCTGGCATCATACCCTATGCCAGAGATGAGTCTGCAGAACAGAAAGGCGCCATATCCCTGCACGAAGGAGGACAGCGAGGCAAAGGAGGCATTGACAGCCAGAGACATGCTGAGGACTCTCTTCCTGCCCAGTTTGTCAGCGAGGCCTCCCAGGATGAAGGCCCCTGCCATCATTCCCAAGTAGACAATCAGCCCTGTGAGGAAGGGAGAGAGAAAAAGGGACAGGGAAGGAAGACAGGACATGAGAGACCATATGATGTGGAGGAAACCCAATGCTCGATTTTACCTCACCCTAGAAATTCCACGTCACAGACATAAAAACATGGCATGTGATAAGATACTCATAGCCAATGAGTGGTGCTACTCAAATGTAACTTTTTACAAATATTACTCCAAAACGAATAGCCTCACTGGGTTTGTACACATGTACACACATGCCAACGTAGGTCAGTCCAAACTAGGATAGATGGACTTTTCTTAAAGACTGTTCTTTTAGATGTACAATCTATAGGCAAGGGAAATGCTATAATTTTATTTTTAAACAAGAAAACATTAGTACTAAAAATATCTTCACCTGAGATGTGATATTTAGGGAAAAAATTTCTGGGGCGAAGTGTGGCAACATGTGTAAGTGAAATCAGAACAGAAAAACACATTGCAGAGGAAATGCAGCAGTTGCCAAGAGGGCTGGTTGTCATGTTCCACCCTCCTGAAGGGCTTGTTACAATCAATCAGTGTCCATGACATGTACATGACCTAAGATTAAGCATCCAATTTCACTTTTCTCTGTGTGGATAACCATTTCCTCAAGAGTTGCCCTTTCCTAATTGTGTCTTCCTGACCTCTTTGTCAGCACTCAATGACTATAAATTTGTGACTTTATTTCCAGTCTCTCTCTTTTGCTCTTTTGTCTATCTGCTTCTACAACAGCACCGTGCTGTTTGGCTATTGTAGTTTTGCAGAATATCTGAAGTCATGTAGGATGGTACCATCAGTTTTGTTCTTTTAGCTAAGATTATATTGACTGGTGTTGTGTGCGGCTCCTTGCAAATTTTAGGGGTTTTTTCCTATATCTGTGAAAAATACCATTGGAATTTTGTTGGGGATTACACTACAGATCTTTTGGGGTACTATGGGCATTTTAAACTGCTAATGCATGATACCTTTCCGCTTATTCCCTCCCCTGATTATCCCCAGGACTGCTTGCTAAGTGGGGAATGGCTCCTTCCTTTCAAAAAGATTAACAATAAGAAGCACGATTATTGCCAAGTGAGAAAAAGTGCTCCAATAAAGGTACAAGCCCAGGATTATTAGAACCCAAAGGAGCACAGTTAGGGTAAATCTTACCCAGTGTGAGACGGCTGATTACATAGGGATTTGAGCTGCTCTTGAAGGACAATGAACCTTAGTCAGATTTCTACTGGTGATGGGGTAAAGCCATGAAAGATAGTGGCAGACTCCTTGTGCAAAGATGGGAAGGCAAAAAGAACAGCCTAATATGTTGGAGCAACCACTAGTAAAGAAACTAAGAAAACCACTGAGAGAAAGGGTAGGACACAGATCAAGTCAGTGAGGTGGGGGGAGAGAGAGAGAGAGAGACAGAGAGAGAAAGAGAGAGAGGAAGGAGGAGGAGGAGGAGGAGGAGGAGGAGAGGGGAGGGACGGAAGGGGAGGAGAGGGGAGGGGAGGAGGCAAAGAATTAGAGGAATAGCTAAGAACTAATCCCTACAACTCCTTCCCTGATCCCTGATGCTGGAGAAAAACACTAGTATCTAATGAAAGTTTATTTTTCTTTTACTCCAGCAA